ACAGGAGCAGTGAGGGTCTGAGAGCGGGACTAGGGCAGGAGCTGCTGGGACAGCAGAGCCCAGCATTGGCCTTGTGGTGTTTGAGATGCAGGTCAGACCCCCCCAAGGCCCTGGAGACACAAGTCAGGAGGTATCTTCGGTATCTGTATGGTATTTAAAGCTGTTTGTTTGTTTGTTTGTTTGTTTTGAGACGGAGCCTCAAGCTATCCCCCTGGGTAGAGTGCCATGGCATCACACTCACAGCAACCTCCAACTCCTGGGCTCAAGCGAGTCTCCTGCCTCCGCCTCCCAAGTAGCTGGGACCACAGGCGCCCGCCACAACGCCTGGCCATTTTTTGGTTGCAGCCATCATTGTTGTTTGGCGGGCCCGGGCTGGGGATTCGAACCCGCCACCTTAGGTGTATGTGACTGGCGCCTTAGCCACTTGAGCCACAGGCGTCAAGCCATGTAAAGCTTTTTGTCTGGGTTGAAGTCACCTGGACATGCATGAGAATCTCCTGGGGATCTTGAGAAAAATGCAGGATCTGATCTAGTGAGTCTAAGACTGGGCCTGAGAGACTGCATTTCTTTTTCTTTTCTTTCTTTCTTTCTTTCTCTTTTTTTTTTTAAATTTCGAGACAGGCTCTCAAACTGTTGCTCAGACTAGAGTGCCATGGTGTCATCATAGCCCACTACAACCTTGTACTCTTAGGCTCAGGTAATCCTCCTGCCTCAGCCTCCCAAGTACCTGGGACTACAGGTGCACATCACTGTGCCCACTAATTTTTTCTATTTTGTGTAGAGATAGGGTCTCGCTCTTGTTCAGGCTGCTCTTGAACTCCTGGGCTCAAGTGATCCTCAGCCTCCCAGAGTGCTGGGATTGTAGTGTGAGTCACCATGCCCAGAGAGAGGCTGCGTTTCTAACAAGCTCCTGGAAGAGGCTAAGACCGTGCTCTGGGTAGCTGGGGTCTAGGGTGTATTTGTCATGGTCAAGACCCTGTGGTGGGTAGGAACGCAACAGAGGGACTTGTAGTCAGTGGCAAAAGAAAATGCTGCAGGAGGGAAGCTGTAGGAGGCGTTGGGGCACAGGGAAGGTCAGGGTCATACAACGTTTATTCTGGTTAATGGAGCCTGAGTCCCAGGGCCTGTGCTGGGACGGGTCAGCAGGGTCATAAAGCTTTGAGAAAACCTGGCTTAGGACTTAGGGTAAACAGAGAAGGGAAGGGCCAGGGACCAATTCTGGGGGGACAAAGAGGAACTGGGGAAGAGGCAGATAAGGTGACTGGGGAGGTGGGAGGAAAGCCAGGACAGAATGTTCTGGAAGCCAAGGAAAGAAAGTCTGGCTGGGATTTGAATTATGTTCTGCCTCTCCTCAGCCCTGAGCCTTGTACACCTAAGCCTCGGTTTCCTCAATTGTAAAATGATGACATGACATTTCAGGCCCATCCAGGTGGCTGTGGAGTGGCAGTCTGCACAGGACCAGGCATGCCCCAGGGTGGTAGAGCCATTTCAGTCCTTTCCTGGCCTTTTGAAGTTCTCTAGGCCAGCAGGTTGCCTTCCCATTGTGCGGATGGACAAACTGAGGCTCAGAAAGCAGAAAGGTCTTACCTGAGGAGGCCTTACCTGAGGCCACCCAGCCAGTGCAGGGCAGAGCCTGGGTACCCTGCTCCCAGCCCAGTGCTCTCTTTCCCTTGCCCTGTGGGTCTGGTCCTGCTGTTATCAACGGCTCCTGGCTCCAGGCCGGTGCTGGAGACGGACAGCCGCCTGGTTGGTCCCTGGGGGCTGCCTGAAATTCCTTCAGTGGCTAACAGCCAGGGTAGACGTGCTCCATCCCTTCCTGAAGCCTAGGCCTTCCCGGCCAGCCAGGAGGAGGAAGTCACAGAATGTGTGCATCTGCCCACCGTGGGGTCCAGGCACGGGGGCCTGGCCACTGGCCACGTGTCTCTCTGGCATGTGCACAGGCAGCACCTGAAAACATCTATATCAGTTACAGCCCAGCAGGAAACAGATGGCACACTCCAGTGGGACATTAGAGGAGAGTCCAAAGAAGGGTCTGTTTACACAGGTGCAATGAGGGTGTTGTGAAGTCACTTGGGACCATGTGGACACCCAGGCTAACATTAGCATGGGCCGTGACTACCCTGAAGGGGCCGGGAGAGGAGTCAATTCTACAGCCAGACTCTTCCTTGTGGATAAGGTCCCAACAGGGCTGTGCCTTCAGTGGAGCAAGGCCACCAGTGTGCAGTGACCCTGCAGGGAAGGAGCCTGTGGGTCTCTGAGCACAGGGGTGGCTGGGTAGGGAAGGTGGGTGTGTCCCACAGGGTAGAGAGTATATCTGGGGGGCTGTAGGAGACAGCTAACCCTGCACCTGTCCCCTGCTGCGAGGCTATGTGATCATCAAGCTTGCTGGGGACAGGAGATCCAGTCTAGAACTGCACTCTTCTACTGGGGACCAGGGACAAGGCCTGCCTCTCTGTGCCTCAGTTTCCCTGTGCCTCTGTGACCCCGACCCTGCCTCACCTTCCAGGGTACCTTATGCTTTCAATAAATGTATCTCAAGAGCCAAAAGGCCCTGGGCCCTGTGCTAAACCCAGGGGACATTAGTGCAGAGGACATCAAAGCCCCTGCTCTTATGGGGCTTCTAGTCAGGTGAAAAGACATAGTCAGCCTGATTCCACATAGGCTGGGGTGTGATGGGGAGGGTCAGGGTGCTATAGGAGCTGGAGGTGACCCCTCTCCACCCCTAATCCCAATCTTCTCCTCCTTCTGTGAAGTTCCATGGCCACTGGTAGGTGTTGCTCTCCTAGGAGGTTTTCTCTGAGTTCTTCACGTCCACCTGGAGTCTCTCCTGCTGTCTAAAAAATCCACGGGGTCTTGTTTATAATGTGAATGGAGATGGATCATGCAGTGTGGAGGAAAGTGGGAGGGAGGGACATTTGGAAAAGCCTCTTGGAGGGTCCCTGTTACTGCCACAGACACTCCCAGCACCTCTCTAAATCCCCTACCCTGAGATGCCCACTGCCCTTGTAACATCTGTCTTCTCCCTCCAAATTCATTTCAGGTGGCCATGTCAGGGGAAGAGCAGAGCTTGGAGCCAGGCATCCCTGGAGGTCAGCAGTTTATGCCTCAGGGAGTCTTGGTTCCTCCTTGTAAAATGGGGATATAACGGTATGGGGCAGCTGTGAGGATTCAGAGCTGATAAGGTGAACGCCTAGGGCGGGCCCTGGGGCTGAGCAGAAGGAGAGTTCAGCCCTGGGGCTGGATTAACTGTCCCCAGGGCACAGATCCTGGAGACACCTCACAGCCTCCTTTCCCACTAAGCAGCCCTTGCTTGGGTGCCACCTCCCCCATCTGCCAGGTTACAGAAAAAGGCAAAGGAGCTGCCTCCCTGGAGGTGGGGGCCTGCTGGGTGAGGATAATTGCCCTTGACCTCATGCCTGAAGTTGGCTAGGAACCGGCTGGGTAGCCATAGGGCTGAGCGAGGAAACCTTCCTCCAGCCCCCACCCAAGGTGTCACACCCACCCTTCCCACCCCTGTGTCAGCTTCAGCAGAGACAAACACATGTCCAACTCTGGTCACTGGTACAGGCCAACAAATGCTGGGGGGATCCAGGGGCCAGGTCTAGGACACTAGACCATCACCCTATCTTCAGAGGCACCCAGGGTTCCAGCCTTCTTCTCTTGCCCTGGGCCTCGATGTCTCCATCTGTGATCCAGAATAGATATAGAGAAGGACTCCCCTCTCTGTAGGTCTTGCCAGCACACACAAAGATTTGTCTTCTCAAAACCCAGCTCTGCCAGCATCCTTCTGCTCAAAAACCCTCCATGACTCCCAGTGGACCTCAGGATAAAGTCCTGACATTCAAAGCCCACCCAGAGCAGGGCCAGAGTCTGCCTCTCCAGGCTTCCTGACCCATCTTACCCTTGCTGTCCCACAGTGGTCCAATCACTTCCTCCTTCTGGGCCTTTGCTTAGGCCAGTCTCCTGCCTGGTATGCCCTCCTTGTCCCTGTGTCTCCCCTATCAACTCACCCAGTCTTTCAAAGGCCAGCCCCTCAGGCTGCCTTCTCTGAACCCCCTGGGGCCTGGCTCGAGGTGCTACCTGGGACTAACACCATGATGGACAAGGAAGAGGTGCTTACTATTTGCAGAATGAATGCGCAACAGTTTTGGGATTGTCACTCAGACTCAGGGAGCACCAATAGGGGAGTGAGTACTGTGTGTCAGGCCCAGGGCTCAGCATCACAGTTCCCAACCTCTGGAAATCTCACAGCCTGGCCAGGAAGGCCCCATCGTGGCCCACTTTATAGATAGAGGGACTGAGGGTAGAGGGAACTTGCCCAAGGTCACACTGCTCAGAGCAAGCAGATAAGGATTTGAACCTAGGACCATCTGATTTCAGAAATGCTATTAAAGTCTGTCTCCCTTTCATGTGGAGCTGTCTTTTGTCCCTGAAGGATTTTCCACCCACGAAGCAGGCAGACACAGAGTGTGTAGCCCTGTGCAGGTCCTCTGCCCTTTCTGGGCCCAGAGACCCCAGCCCCTCGTAGCTGCCTCACTGTGCCCATTTGGGAGATTCCTTCCCTGTCTTGGCCTTCAGTTTTCCTGCCCACAAAGCAAGGGCACAGCAGCCTGTTGGTGGCGCTTAGTGAGCCAGCTGTGGTGGCCCATGAGACCTGTAGGAATCCCGACTCTGCCACCTTCTTGGGCCAATTATCTCACCTCATCACGTCTCTCTTTCCTCATCTGCAAAACATGATCACTGAGACCATGGAGTTGTGAGTTCCACATGAGTTGCTTTAGCCAGGGCCTGGCCTGGGAACGGTCCCTTTGGACCCGCTATTAGGGTGATTGTTTTCATCTGTGGGGCTGCCAGATGCACCCCCCCCACCAGTCTTGGACAGACTGGGATGGGAGGGTGGGGTGCATGGGGAGACAAGCCTGGAGGACAGGCCCTCCCACCCCACTGCCTCCCCCCCATCCCAGGGCCCCCCACCCAGCAACAAAGCCTGTGGCACTTCCTCTACCCGTCTGGCAGGCAGCCTGGCCCGGCCCCTTCTCTAAGGAAGCGCATTTCCTGCCTCCCTGGGTCGGGCTGGATGAGCCAGGAGCTCCCTGCCGCTGCTGGTCATACTCCAGCCTCCATCTGCGTGCACAGGCTAGGACCACTGCCGCCACTGCTATCCACAGGAGCTCAGCACCCCACCCTGCCCATCTGTTGGCCAGTGACTCCAGCTCGGCCCTGCATCCCTGTGCCCACTTCTCCTGACCCCTCAGCCACCACCCCAGAAGGCTGGAGCAGGGACGCCGTCACTCCGGCCGCCTGCTCCCCTCAGGTCCCCGCTCGAGCCCACGCCGGCCCCGGCGCCCACCCGCCGCCCTGCCCCTGGACACCGGATAAGGCCCAGTGCTCAGGCTCCTGGGTGGACATCATGGCCCACGGCATGCTCCCCCTGGCTGTCATCCTGCTGCTGGCCGGCCGTAGCGTCAGCCCCACAGGTAGGTGGCCAGGGCCCTGGGATGGAGACAGTTGTCCCATTGTACACAGACCAGGCCCCGGTGTCCCCAGCCTCCTTCCTGTGTCCTCACTCACATCCAGTAGAACCATCTTCGTGGCTATGGAGGTGACTAACCCTCCCAGTTTGCTGGGACTTGGGGGTTTCACAGAATACGGGACTTTCAGCATTAAAAGTCTCAGCAAACCAGGACAACTTATTTACCTTAACCCTGACCTCTGGTGTCTTCCCTCCCAGCAATATCCATTTCTCCCCAAGAAGCCCAGGTCCCAGAATGCTGAACAGCCCCAAGAGAGTTCCCTGCCATCTCTGGGCCTTGGTTTCCCATCTGAGGAATGTGTAGGAAGGTGGGCCCACAGCTTTGGGTTCAGAGTGCAGGCTTCGGGTTCAAATCTCACAGAAGTACTTCCTCACGGGGTGATCATGGAGACTGCCTCTTGGGCTCTGAACACAGTGGGGATGATAATAGAACTTCCGCCTCAGGGCTGCTTCCAAAGTCAGTGGTAAAGCAGTACTGGCAGGCTGGTTACTCCTGTGTTGTTGATACTGTTTTATTATTAGCTTTGAATCCCTCTACCTCCCCTTCCCCAGGCCACTGAACGCCCCTCCAAAACCCTTTGACCAGGCCCAGACTATAGCACTCTGACGTTGCCTCCACCCCTTTCTACATAGGGGGTACAGGATGGGCCTACAGGCTCCTCAGCCTGGGAGTCTTTCCAGGGGGGTCATGGCTTCTGCTGCCTTCTAAAATTGACCATAGGAGGGGCAGTGAAGTCAGAGACCCCTAGCCCTACTTCCTACTCATGGTGGGTCTCTGCTGGGCCCTGCCCCTCAGGCACCTCAAGCCACTGGCCAGTCCTATGGACACCCTTTCACCTACCTACACGTCCAGGGACTTCCTGAAGGATCTGGAGAAGGGGGAAGGAAGGAGGAGGGAAACAGCAGGAGGGACAGCCACTTCCTTACCCCACAGCCTGTCCAAGTCCCTAATTTTCGGCCTCTAAACCTTTCACCATTGCCTCATTGATAGATGGGAAACTGAGTCTCAGAGACAATGAATGACTTAGGGATTTGAGCCCAGGCCTGCAGCTCCCCAGAACATTTGATGCAGCCCATTTGATAACCCTGCAAGATGGCTGCCACCATCATCCCCATTTCACAGGGGAGGAAATGGAGGCTGTGATCTGCCAAAGCACACACAGCTAGGACAGAATCCCTCCCTGAGCTACAAGATATGCCCCAGGGCTGCCCAGGGCCCTTCCCTCCATCCATTCCTAGCTGCTATAACATTCTTCTCCTCTTGGTCGTTAGAGAAAGATCAATGCCGACATTTAGTGTATGGTTTTAAAGGATCGAAAGGCAGTGGTGTGTGGATAAATAATTAATAACAGAGCAGGGTGGGGTAGGGGGACTAATTCATAGTGTCTGTCAGTTTCCATTGTAAATATCCTCACATGACTGGTTTCAAGCTACCAACTCACCAGATTCAGTCAGAGCTGGGATTCAATGTGTGGTGCTAGCCAGTATTCCCACCACAGGATACCTACCACGTAGATAATCCTAAGAGTGCAGGTGATAGTGTAAAATGATTGAGAAGTAATGAGTTTTGATAATTATTACTTTTAATATACATATAGTTTACTTAATTGTAAGTTTGTATAATTTAATTTTTAATAGTAGCCATGGTTTTCTTTTTCTTTTTTTTTTTTGAGACAGAGTCTCACTTTGTCACCCTTAGTAGAGTGCCATGGCATCACAACTCACAGCAACTTCAAACTCTTGGGCTTAAGCGATTCTCTTGCCTCAGCCTCCCAAGTAGCTGGGACTACAGGTACCCACCACAGTGCCTGGCTA